GGAAGGGGGAAAGCTCTGATAGAGACGAAGTGAGGGAGACGAAGAAGAAACGACGGAGATGAACTTTCTGGTTGTGAGGGAGAGACCGGGATGAAAACTGGGATGGACAACGAGATAGTGAATGAAGGAGGGGAAGGACCGAGACAGGGAGGGAAAGGAGGGGAGGGCTGGGTTTGATTTCTTTTTTTAAATTGAGGGTAACTCGTAATTTTACAAAGCAAAATAAGGGGAGGGGTCATAAATCTGAAGTGGAGGGGTCATAAATAGGTAAAAATCAAAAGGGGGTCAAAAGTCCAAAGTGATTATTGAAAGGGGTCAAAAATCCCAATTTCCCTTAATTTTGTTCGATATATATATATATATATATACCGACTTCAATACCTTCGTGTAGTTGACATGATTATATGGTCTACACCATGTTGACCAACCAAGATAAATCAGGATCTATCTTGACCAGCACCAATAATTTATAAAGTATACATTCTGATCTACATCATTGGCTAACCTATGAAGCTCGAGAAGAACTAAGATGATCTTTGCAAAGATGTACTTTTGAGCTACAGTATTGTTGATGAATATGGCCCGATAGCCCATAATCGTCTAATTGCTTGTCGAAAAGGCTATAACGAGACTTGTCTCTCACCATTCGCCTATCAAATGGAATCTACTCCTCTCACCCAAGTACACAATTATGCCCAAGACTGACTTACTCCGTTAAACTTTGGACTAACTAAAGTTTTAGAGTGTTTGTTTATTTTGTGCAAGTCTCTATTGCATAGCTCGCTCCTTTTCCTATCTTGTTCGGGTGAAAATGCTGTCAATCTTTGATCTTTGGCAGAATTCAATGTAAATAAGTATATAACTAAACTAGTTAAGAATATATATAACAAATAATTCTTACCTAATAAGTGGTCAACATGAGATCCAATAAGAGATTCTCCCTCGATCATACCCATATGTATGTACCAAATAGTTAAGTGTTTTTTGTGTAGTCATGATCAATAAGTAGGTTCCTATTGCCCGATGATCAATAATCGAGTATTGTTATTAAAAAATTACTTTCTAATTGAGCTATGAGAGTATGAAGATGTCAAATAACATTGATTTCACTTGCAAAAAGTGTGCAACACGTGCACTATCAATATCAGTTGAAAAGAAAATGATATTACTATAGTTCAAACTCCAAACTCCAAACTCGTTAGGGTTTGATATATTTAATTTTTAATATATATATATATATAGATAATAATATATTATTAATTGAAAGAAAAATAGTTTTTGTAACATGAATAGTCGTGTAATGTCCTCTCTTTTGATTTAGACATTAGTCTTTAGGGAAAAGAAAAAAGCAAAATTTTATTTGACAAAAACTTTAGTTTCAAATCCATCATGCTTTATGAATACATGTTGGAATTTAATATATCATTAAGTCAAAAGGCCCATTATTTAATTAATACATGCAACATAACCACGGGAATATTAAGGAACAAGAGACATTTATCTTTAAAGATACCTTAAATAAATAGACTTTCAATCTCATTTGACAATATATTAATTCGTCTTAATTTCTTTTTCTTATGTATTATACATTATCATATAATTAACATACAGTCAAATAATAATATTTAAACACATAACTAAAAATATTCTAGAGAAGCATACAGTATTACGCTCTAACTATATATATATTTGTATGTATATTTAATATGTATATAATTTTTTAATTTAAAAAATTAAGCCAACAAATTAAAAGAGAAATTTTAGATATAAGAAAAATTAAAGGGGTAATTGGCCCTCTTATCTTATTCTTTTAGATTATTTTTTGAAAAGATTCACCCACTAGAGCCTAGAGTAATGATATGTGTTAAGAATCTACTAAAGGATTAAAATAGACCATTGACCAAATCATTTCACCTAATAATTTAATACTGAAATGTTTTTTTTTTCTTTGGGGAGTTCATTGAGAATTACCATGCCAGTCTCTTTTTAAAATTTCAATAACATCCAAAAAAAAAATTATATTTTGATATTTTGAACTTATTTTATTTTACTTAACTGCGATAAAACATTAATGCACTAGATTTAAATTGACGTTCTCAAACTTTTATTATCTCTTTTAATATGATTCTTCTATTTTGTTATCTATTTTTCATATCGTACTAAACCAACCAATATTTATCCAATAAATATTTCAAATCATCATTTAAACGAAACTAAACTTCAAAATATCTAGAGATATAATTGAAATATTTTAAAGTTGCATGAAACCAAAAATATGGTTGATGGGTACTGAAAAAATGAGAACTTGTCTTGTAAAAATATTTTTTTAGCAATTAAGAATTGTGCAAAGGGGTGAAAAGCAAAGAAAAAAATGTATAGGGAAAGGTGCACGTGCGTGCATGGCTGTGGCTGTGCTTGTAGGCGTACGAGGACCGGCGCTGCGTGACCTGTACGAGCCGCTGCCGCTGCCCAACGGCCAATGCACGCACTTGGGTTCGTTCAATTCAACCAACTTCACCCCCAAGGTCTCTCTACTTTCCTTGGCTCTTGTGCTTGGTAGTTGCAATTCTAACGACCTCGATAAACATTTCTAGCACTCTCGTAGTATCTACGCTCTTCATCTACGTCATGAACTTTTCTTTGTGACTAATATTTCAATGTTGTTGAATTCCACGTCATTTTTAAATATTGTTGATGGACCGACAACGAATGGAGATATTATTGGAGGAAAAGTCTATGTTAAGGAAAATTTTCTCATTCTATAGTACCTATTCATTCCGTTCACACTATAAATTTCTCTTTATAAATAATTATTTATGTTGTTGGACCCGTGTCATTTTTAAAATGATGCTAATAACATGGTGGACAATAAATGAAAGTAGTACTTGTATAATGATAGTTATGAACATTTGTCTTGAAACAATGTAGATGTATGAGAGAAAAATTATAACACGTATTTCACATGCATCCAATAGTTATTAGAGGGCATATTGATTGTGAATCATTTAGTAGTTATTAGACAACAAATACACTCAAGTCATAAAAATTTCCATCTAGAGATAAACTCGATTTGATTCGTCATAATTTGATAGACTCAAATCGGACCTCTCTTCCAACACGTCCATACATACTATTCGACATCCATGATTGTTTTCTCGATTGATGTGAATAAAGATTTGACATGGATTGGCATTTCTCCATCTCGCTGGTCTACTTTTGTTGGTGTGATCTATCTCGTCTTATTTCAATCAATTTGGTTTATCTTCAACTCGAAACAAACCGAGTCGAACTAACCTCTCTTTAGGATTGAGACTGTGGTTCAACTTGGAAAAGTTAAAAGCATGGGTTCCAAAGAACACAGAAAAGAAAAAAATATATATATGAAAGAAAGTAGATTCCATTGCACAAGAGAGAATAAACAGAGCCTTCCTTTTTCTTATCACTAGCAGCAGAGTTATGTGAACCTTTTGAAACCTGGCTGATGAAAAGAAACTGAGTGGTAAAAAGAAAAAGCTAACCCAGAAGAGTTAATGGGTTTGAATAAAATCAGAAAATTTTACAACAGTAAAAGAGGCAGCCCCCCCTGTAAATGCCAAAATGAGTAAGGACAAGTAAAGTAGAGGGAGAAGGCACTGTCCAGTACCATGAAAACTGGAGTCTAATTGGCCACTCATCTTCAATTTTCAGAAAATGAAACCAGAGTAAGTAAAAGGAAATTTAATACACAAACAAGGTACAATTTAGGCCATTGATGGTTACCATCAAGCAACAGTCACTTTTTGTACACCATTTATCAGCTGAAGAAGATGGAACATGGAAGTGGAGTTACACCAGCAGGAAAAAAAAAAAAAAAAAGCTTCTCTTACTTGTTCTTGTTTAACTAAAAAGAAACTCAAAATGTCCAGTCTACTCAGAAGTCGAGGCTTTTTTTCCCAATAACTCAGATTTCTCAGTGGTTTTCAAGAGCTAGAAACATTATATGATTCACTTGATGGGTTTTGGACTTGACCTTTTTTTTGTTTTGTTTTTTTATTCTCTTCCTTTCCTTTTTTTTTCTTTTTGTGAAATTGGAGCTTCATTAGAAGATCTCAAGCTACATGAACTGATTACTTTACAAGATGAACAGAAAGTGTATGTACAATGTCAGAATTGATACTGAATGAATCTAGTCTAGCTTTTGAGTTTTGATTTACCCACAAAATAATGAGCACATCAAAGAGTTGATGGGTATGGGCTTGACCTTACAATTTGCATATTAATTTGTGTCCTCTATGTATCAAGAATCCAACACCTCAGCCTTGTACATCAGGGCATCTGCAAAACATTGAATTAATCGTCAGGTAAAATTTAAACAATAACCACTGTCTCTTAGTTGTTAGCAAATGTTTCTTTTGATGTTTTGTCATCTCCCTCAGATTTTTAGCTTTTATAGTTTTGAAGTTGATGGTACCAAATGCATAGCTGTTAGAACTCGAACAAGAAATATTGAAATATAACGAGATATAGAAACTACAAAAACTACCAAGTAATTCGCGGTACTTGGACCCTCCCCTCTTCTCTTGAGTATTCTTACTCAAACCTAAACCATACTCACTAATTGGATCTCTTCATCCTTACACCTCCATTCTATTTATACAAATACTCCCTATCAACTTTCATATCTAATATCTAAGGTACCCTCGATACTCTAATAATATCCCTTTATTACCCTAAGGGCGATTCCTATCAATAGCCTACATATTTATTACAATCACAAACAAGAACTTCAATTCCATGGTTCACAACAGAAGATGAGATGACAGTTGAAGATGCAAATATAGTTCTATATTAGTTAGAAGTGAGATTGGTACAAAAGTAAGGGCAATATTTCTATGGTATAGGCCATACTACCATAGAAATATAGAAAGTTTTTTCTCAATAATGATGGAGAGACAGACCCTTTATCAGCCATTGAATTCTATATTTTGTCAATTTCATCCTAACTTCCATTTGATAGGCGAAAGGAATTTTGAAGCCACGTACTAACTTCAGTTAGTTTTTCTTTCCATTTGACACCACCAATGTAATGGTTTGTTTTGCTTTTATTTCCCGCCTTTACCGACCGGGAAGTAATCTGTTTAAGACTAAAGAATTTAAGCTGAACTACAGCTGCTACATTTCAGAAGTTATCTATACTGCAACCTTCTTGAGTATCCTTCAATCCAAAATTTCTCTTCTATGATAGATCTAGTTAATTTGTGTATGAAAATTCTTCTGGACAAATCAGTTCGTTTCTATTATAGGTTGCCAACTGTTTACATAACAAGTGGGTAAAATTTTTATTGAGTTTCAACTAAGAATTTTTCACTTACCTCAAACTGAGCTGAAAGAGAAAAGTTTCCTTTGTTCATCGGTTGGATTCAACAACCACTGGCAGAACATCACTGCTGCTCCAACAACAGATAGAAGTGACAGCATCGCTAGAAATCCAAAATGTGAAGTATCATTGGCAATTATTGCGACGCCCAACATTATGGACTCCGCTAAACTAGCAACTGAAACCTCTGTTGATGCAATGAGGTTAGTTTTGGACGATGGTATCCCGGTTTGGAGAATCTGTTGCCCCACAACATTATAAGACATGTGCCCGAGCCTAGATAAAACCTGCATATAGGAAAATCACTTAGGAAACAAAATATGAACAAATTATCCAATGCATCACATTTCAAGCTAATAGCAGCAGCAATTAGAATGTTCAGGGTTCACTAACTTCCTATAGACAACCTGAATCAGATTTTTCTTTTGATATAAATGAGCTCGATGGTGGACTAAAGTTATATAAAATCAGATTAGCTAGTCCAAAAAAACTGATTCGATAAGAGTTGATTCTTACAATCATAGACAAGAAGAAAAGAAGAGGGCTCTGCCGGGAAAGGGATCCGCTCAAGTACACAGCAACAGCAACTGTTAGAAGTGCAGCTTGAAATATCAATCCAACTGCCCCAGCCTGACAAATGGAACTAGGATGTGTATTAGACTATGTGCAGAAGACATGGAACTATGAGCAGAAACGTAGAAGAAAATATAACCTTCAAAATTCCGAATTGCCTGACCAAATTTGCAGATACAAAAGTTGCAGTAACACCCATGAAAGCACATAATCCACTAAAGGCACCAATTATTGATGGACTAAGACCTGTTGGCCAACATGAATGAAAAGTAAAATTATAATCACGCAAAACCAAATTATAAAGTTTCAGAAAGCAGGTCAAGGAACATTAGTGCTGACTGCTGAGTAAAGGGTCAGTTTCAGTTAGTTTTTTTCCCCTTCTTTTTTGTTTTTGTTTTTGGTTGGGGGGGTGGAACAAGATCCGAACATTGGAGTTAGGATGCACCCATTTATTAGGACCAAAGAATTAAATTATTTGATATATGGCAATTTGTTAATTTCATCTAGCTAAGGTTTTATATGGACATCAAAGCTAATGGTCCTAAAAGAGGTGTGTGAAAGGGAAAAATATCTAGTAATACAGTATGATGTATACTACTCATCTCTCATTTATTATAAATTAGCTACGTCAACATTATTTTAAGACTCACATGAGTTCCATAGTACTAAAGAACTATTTATAAAGGAAGTACTAGAAACTTTGTCGAAGAACAAACTTACCATATAGAGTTAAAAGTCGTAAACATACCTTGCTGAGTTAAGAATGCCGTCATCAAACTGCCCGGAGCAAGGACAGCATTGAAGTAGAGGAGCACATAGGCAAGGCTTGCAGGAAGTACTGGTTGCTGCAAGTACTCCTTCCATCCATTTTTAATAACTTCTACGCCAACGTCCACTGAAAGCACAGAAGATGATTTTACTAAAAATTGTATCAGAACAAACTTTGATCAAATTCCATAATGGCTCGTGAAAGATTACTTATACTCTCAGCGCCAGGTGAACCTTCAGTAGGATCACCACAACACGTTTGTGAACATTTTGCACGATCTAGAACACCAGTGGAGAGTTTGTTGGTTAACCAAGTGAGTACGACCTGACAACCATCAAACAATTCATAAACTTTACCTCTCAAGAAATATCTAGTTAGCACGTGGACAAATAATTACCACAACTGGCAAGGACCACAACATTAAACCCGCAGCAAACTTCAAGCAAGTTACTGGATCATACTTGGAAAGGATGATACCAAATAAAGATGCTCCAACTATCTGCACGACAAGAGTGTTTTAGTCAATTGGGTCAAAGTTTTCATATTGATACATCGACAACTTCAAGAAACTCAGCTTAACTGAAGTAGGAGAGAAATATATCAAACAGAAAACCAAGATAGTGTGTAACTGAAAAAAATGATTTGAGACTCCCTGATTACCTCACAGAGAAGGTCAATTCTACTAAGAACAGCATTAGCTTCTGCAAGTGCAATAGGCCTATTGATTCCAGCTAACTGTACCATGGAGAAAGAGCACTAGTTTTTTAGATATTTATTAGATAACAGGGAAACAAATAATTTAAAAATTAACATACCAACACAACCCAATCACGCTCCATAGCAACACCCAATGCTATTCCAGACAGCCTCTCTATGGAACCGGCAACAATCAGTGTAACAAACCATGGCTGGAGAAGTATGGATGATGAAGCAGAACGTGGAACGGTATGGGCATAAATTACCATTGAGGCAGATAGCAATTGAGCAGCAGCCTGAAGGCAACAGAGAAATTATAGATTGTAATAAAAACCTGGGCAAATCCAATTCAAGTTTGAATAATGGCTAGTAGAGTTCGGTGTGTGCTCTCGTATCAAATTTCTGACATTAAGTATATTTTAATGTACAAGTATACCTGAACACAATTAAGACAAGTATATGCTGGAACTCTGGGAAAATTATCCATAAACTTCCCGACCAAAGGGCCTCCAACTATTATTGCAAGCTGTTAACACTTCTAACATATTAGAGAGCAATTCTCTTGCATCGTAAATAGGCTAAATATACAAAATGGTCCTTAATCTTCTAAGTAATTCTCAATTGTCCTTAAATCTTTTAAAATTCTCAATTTTATTAATTAGGTCATTCCGGAAAAACGTTTGTTAACAAAGAGATGATATATCATTGAGTTATTGTTTTATTAACATATTTAGACACGATGAAATGTCACTCAAATGCTACTTGATACATGAAACTTAGTTCACCCATCAACAAAATTCACTTCTTTCAAGTGACATGCATCCAAATATGTTAATAGTGATACAACAATAATTTAATGTCACATCAACTTTATATTGACAAATTTTTATAGAAGTTATAATGAAAAAACTTGATTGAAAAATTTTTTATGCATTAAGGGTAAAATTGATAATTTTAAAAAACTAATGATGAAATTGAGAATACCAAAAAGGTTAGGAACCATTAAGTATATTTAGCATAATTTAAAATTATAGGTTTACCTTGATGACTAGTTACCTTAGTAAAGAATCCCATGACTGCGACTGGCAGAAGACTAGGATGAAGCAATGCAATAGCAGAAGGCCAAGCAAAATTCCAGAGCTGTTCGACCAAATTTCCCGCAATACATGAGGCATATAAAGCTGTAAGATAGAAGTATCGTTTCTGGTCAGGAACAACAACCAGGATCCATAGTCTTATAGTTAATATCTAAAACTTATATCAGTTTATGATAAAAACATAATCTCGGACGTATCTCATAAGCTTTTAGACTAAAAATATTACTGTCATACAATGGCTGAAACATCACTCTTATAGACAATAAGGTATCTCGAGCACCATACTAGGCTCCTACTCATTCTTGCACACTGAAATCATGGGTAATTATATAACCCTTATTCACGAACACCTCAAAGTCAAGGCCCCTCTGATAACCATTTCATGTTTTGTTTTTTGTCTTAAAAAACTATGCTTGTTTCATTGTAGTTTCTTTGGTATGCTTTTCATCTTTCTTAAAAGCATATTTGACTTATTAGCTAAATTTCAAAAACAAAAACAAGCTTTTAAAAACTACTTTTAGTTTTCTAAATTTCACTTAGATTTTGACAAACTTATTAAAAAGTAGATAACAAAACAAAAAAACAGGTAGGTAGAGGTAGTGTTTATAAAATTATTTTTCAGAAACAGAAAATGAGAAAGAAAATAGTTGTCAGATGAGCCGAAATGATATAGATATTTAAACTCATAACTTCAACATCAAGACCCTAGGTTCTCATTTTTTAAATTTCTGAGAACAGAAAACTCTAGTTGGGGAGATCTTCACTATGATTGCATGGAAAACTAGTTTATGATCATTTATATCATTTCAATATTAAAATTTCGGGGGGCCTTCTTACCATACAGTCCAGCTGGGTGAGCTGGTGTTGCTGCAAGAACATTCTGCTCCTCCTCAGTTAAAACCTACAATTACAGAAACAGAGAACAGAGTTGATCCAATGCCTGATTCAAACTATCATCTTCATCCCTAATGAAGTCAATGACATTAAGTCATGGTGAAAGAGGAATTCCCCAAGCAGCATACAGGCAAAGTTGTCAAAAGACTATCGACATATGTCCTTTCGGTCAATAAACTCAAAGGTTCAGTCTGTAGAGTCAAAGCATCTGTCTCGAGGAAACCTGAATTCAATTGCACAATTGGAAGTGAACAATCAGCTTCTACAGAAGATAAAGCTTCTTGGACATCATCTTCAACTGAAACTTGATCGAATTTTACGTCAGAGTTGGTTATTGAACACCTTGAAATTACTCTCTCAAGCCTGAAACCAAAAGTGTCCAGTAGAGAGGATTAATCGCCAATTACAACACAAAAACAATATAGGAACTGGTGAACATAAATGTTTCACAAATTTGAAGGTGGACAAAATAACTGCCAAAATGAGCTGAGTTCCTGTAATCTCATGACTTGATAATGTGTCCAACTAAATGCAATACACAAATCTAAAGCTCCACAATTCTACAAAACTCTGTTTAACCAACCAGCACATTCAAACTCCAATTCACAGAACCAATCGTTGTGCGAGCAAACAGACAGACTTAGCATCTAATTCACTGGCCAAGTTACACCAAGCTCTCCCTAACATTATAGCAGATAAGAATGTCGAAATGTTACCAAGCCTCTTAATCGCTCATGGACGCTACCTGGAGCTGGAAGAAACGTAAGTTTGATTCAGATTCTTCAACCGTCGGCAAGAAACGAGGCGATAGCGAACTCGAGAAGAATGCGACGATAAAGAAGCATCACAGATTGAGAAATTGAAACAATTGAAAGAAAGGGTCTGACTGAGCGCGAGAGTGTAACGAATAGCCATGGCCGCTGCTGTTTCTGATACTCCTTTTGCTTCAAGTTCAAGCTCCCAAGCTTGAAGAGCCTACAAATGGAGTTTTGCCCACTCATACAGCCCCTCAAACGCTAATCACCAACTGGGTTTTTGTTCTTCAAGCACATGAAGAAAAATTTCCCAGAAACGATTTCTTATCAATATCAAAACCCCTCTACAGAAACCCGGGCAGGCAATAAAAAATGCTCAATTTTGGAGGTAGCCCATAATCTGATTCTTCTTGAACTATCTGGGTTGAGAAATTTGTGGGCGGTGAATGGTTTTGGGAGTAGAAAAGAAGGTGAGAAAGAGCCTTATCTTTGTGGTGTCTGAATTTGGTTCTTAGTAGCGCCCAGCGGACAGTTCAAAGCTGGGTGGCGTATGAGAGTTTTGAGCCTCAAATTAGGTGTGATTCGGAGGCTCTGCGGGTCGTGGGCCATTAGAAAATCGTATAACTGTTTACAAAATAAATTGAGATGGAAAATTGGTGATTTTGGAGCTTGATTTTATTGAATCAACATTCAACGTTGTCTTGGAGCTTGTTTTGGTTCAAAACATCTTGGATTTGTCCAAAAATTAAGAAATTACATAGGAATTTTTAGATTTTTCAATATTAATGAGGTTGATTTTATATTTTGAATGATTTATAGTAGTCACCTGTTGAGAATTGAGATGAATGAGAGATTGAAATTCAAATTCAACCATTTGGAATTTTATAACAGAGGTAACTTTCTAATAGTTTATATTTTTTATATATAAATTAATTTTTAATTGTAGTAACTTCTGCATCGGTCAAAATTTAATTATAATATTAAATTTGGTAGTTTTTTATTCATGAGAGTATTAAATTCAATATGTTAGTTAGGACATAACTTATTAAAAAATGAATGACTTGCTTATGAAAAAAATTCTTATCGCATCCAGCACTATTATAGTTTTATTTTAACGTCTAATTAGATCGGGTAATTATTCAAATTAAGAACATAAGTCCGTTACTTTTTATTTATAATAATAATTGGAGCATAAGGTTCTATCCAAATCTAATAAGGTAAAAATATTATTAGAATTTTCCATTGATACGACATGCTACAGATAACTTTATATGGCTATAGATTCAACATTGAAATAGGGAGTAAATCAATTTTTTTTAGTGAATAGTAGAAAATTCAATAAGTATTTTTTCATGGAAAGAATTCAATAAGTATTAAAACATATCAACAAAACATTATTAATAAACCTACAAATTAGGATAAAGTCAAAATTTTATAAATTAAAATATACATTTTTTAAATAATAAAGTAATTAACCATCCCGGGTGGTTTATTGATAAAAAAGAACTAAAGTAAACTGAGAAGGAAGGAGTTCAAACTCTAGGATGGTCATCTTTAAGTTCTAATAGAGGTGCGAGCCGATTAAAACACTCACTGATATAAAAATATAAATAAATAAAAATAGTACAGTAATTGAAAAGATTTATTTCTTCTCTACAAAATGGAAAATTAAGAGCCCGCCTAGAAAAATTCTTATTTCTTATTTTTAACTTTCAAGCATTGAGTAAGCATTTTTCTTAAGGAAGTGTTTTAAAAATTGTGTAGGTATTTATTTTTTTTAATCGTTGTTTATGCTCCCCATTTACAAATAAAATATTATTTTTAAATGATTTTTTTAACTTAATATTTGTTTAGAATCAATTTTCCACATGCAACCCAAACTTATTATAAAATTAATAATTTTAAAATTATTTATTTTATTTACCATAAAATTATATAAGAATATGTTTATTTTAATTTTATTTTATGGAATAATAATTATCAAAAAATTTATAAAAAAACTTTCCTAACATCTTTTTATCGTATAAATAAACATCCAAGGTTATAAAATTTATAGGTAGTCTGAATGAATACATATTCAGTACGACTCTAATATAAAGAAAAATTTAATGCATCGATTATGGATAAGCATGTTCGAGTGATCAAGTGAAATCAAATAACACCTCGAACACATCATAAAGTATTAGTAGAACTCGATAGTGTCTCTATTAAAATTGTCGACATAAATCATCTCTAAATAAATTCATTAAAGTTGTTATGAATTAAGTAAATGGTAACGAAGCCACGTTTCATGAGCTAAGCTCGATATTTCATAATTGGGTTGAGTTATTTTTTTAATAATAGTGGTTTAGATCGAGTAAATTTAGAACCGAAGAATGGAATAGAAAAAAAAAAAAAAAACCAACTCGTGACCACCAAGGAAATTAAGAGTTGGAAACGTGGAATTGGAAAATCGTAATCAGATCAGAAAGTGGTGTTTGATTTTGCTTCCGCAAATGGAAACCAATCTTCTGCGGACAATTCAATGGCGTTTGTCGCATCTGTGCGTGAGTCGAAGGATTTGGCTTAGCTTTTCGAGGCCACAAGTTTTCGGATATTTTCTTAGGTAACCAACTCAAACTCTGCCACTTTGCACTTTCAGATTCCCACACACGAACACAGTATCGAAATCGGCAGTTTAATGGGGGGTTTTCTGGCTGAGTTCGATCCACGAGTCTCACAGTTTCGTATTGAATTGGAAAATTAGGGGGAAATTAATTCATCCAAGCTTTTATTTGTTACAATCAATGAACTTAGATAAGATATTGGATGGTATCACTATCAAGTAGATTATTCAACTTTTTGTCTCTGCAACTGAGAATTGGAGCAGTTTATGAAGAATTCATGACTAGTAATTATTAGTTTAGGGGGATTCTCAATGAAATTTTAGACGTATTAATTTAGTTTTGTTTCTCTAACTCTGTAGTTTCTGACATTAAACTTGAGCAAAAAGTTAATGAAATGTTAACAGCCTAAATCAATGAATTGATATCTGATAGTGTTGATACTTGAGACCATGTTCTAATTGTACCTGGTAAGTTTGTTAAGGTGGGAGTCAAGGAGTTTAGAGTATAGACATAATTTTGGGAGTCGGTATGTGGGACTCGGGAGAGATAGTCGTCACGAAAGGCTGTTAATATTGTCATTTCTCTTCGATATTACGAATCACAATATAGTTTCAGTGTCGGATTATGAATTATTATAATCTTGATCCTGACAGACTGCCGCAAGTAAAGTGTCTTTATGAGATCCAAAAAGAATTCATGACTTCTTCAGATATATAGCTTGCTTTTTTGTAGTAAAATCTGAAGATAGTGCTTGCTAAAATCCTTCTAATATATGCTGTGGTGTGAAAGTGAAACATGAATAGAATTATGAAATTTCTTTCTTTATTTGTTCTGAAGAACTTTTTAAATACCTTAAATAGCAAACTAGCTTTCTAACATGTGATTGGGAAAAAAATAATAATAAGAAAACCAAAAAATTTCCTGTCCAATAAGTACACACAGCTTTGGAAAACTGCAGAAAAAAGAAAGCCTCCGCTGTTTTCTTCAACTTATAGAAGGAAGTATGCAACTGAACTATCAACACTAACTTTCTAGGAAGAACTAACAGAACTAAAGATCTGATAATGAGTTTCAAGTTTCATTGTGATTCAAGGGATCGTGGGAATCCACCCATCTTGGTCAATGAAGAATTCCAATGAGAAGTTCCTTAGTTCTGAGGCATCAAGCTTCTTCTCCCATGGAACTCTCTTGGTAGTGGAAGATCCTGGCCCTCTACCATTCACCTCAACATACATAAAGTTTTCCCTAAAGAATGTAACATCAATAAAAACAATTATAAGAACTTGGCAATTCAATCAAGAAAACTTTAAAAGTCAGAGGCTATTTCTTTTCTTTGTTTCTTTTTGTTTCTGTGAACTTACTCTTGGCCTTTGTAGTTCCAGGCATCCCATCCCTCTGGTGCTACCACCGAATCCAATGAAGTATCCTCAAATATAACTCTGGAATAAGGACGATAAGCTCTCCCCAAAAACACTTGGCCAGCCCCCGTTACATTGCACTGTTTAAATATAAACCCGCTCGAGTCTGCTGCCGATTCTCGACCTTGTGCGGTAATGAATCCTTGGTGCACTTGAGGGAGAGATGCAACATTAACATTTATCAAGCAGTCCTGCATTGTCAAAAACATGCATTTTTGGTTTCAAGTTGCAGTGTAAGTCTCCCCAAATTGAATAAAGAAACGGTATCGGCATTTGAAGTTGGCAGAAACAGAACCATGAATGGCCTTCTTGCATCAACTTGGAAAGTTTATAGAGTACCTTGTAAATTGATTGCCCTCTACCAAAGATGAAGTCTATGGCACCTTCGATATAGCAATTTTCAAAGAGATGGCGGCCTTGTACATCCCATAATGTGTCTTGAAACCCCATGAATCCGCAGTCGAAAAATGCCGATCTGTCACCGAAAATTCTTGCAGCTACTGCTTGTGTAATGTAAGTTCCACCACTATAATCATACAGTTGCGGCGCTTCTGCAAGATTGAAGGAGTTCTGCATTGCACCACGACAATATCTAATCAAACACAAGCAACAATTCTAACAAGATAGACACTGATCAATGATTGAGCAATGATTAACTTGCAGCCTAATTTGCTATGAATTTTCAATGATGTGAACATAAATTCAGTTTATGTCAAATCAAGCAATGGAAGCAACAGCACCTTAAAGGTAATGCCTCTGGCAACAACGTTATCAGGAATTGAAGTAAATGTAGCACTAAGATCTGTTCTTTGATGGTCATCGAACGTGATAATCGTAGTCCTACGATCACCTCCATCGAGAAAAATGTAAGGTTTGTCCCCTGGGATTGTCACTTTTTCGCTGCAAAATGTTTGCCAACCATAATTAGAAATAAAGCTCAATAGCAAATGGAAACAGCAGCTGGAAGCATAGAGTAGGCATACACATGTTTTAGCATTATTACTTGTATTCGCCAGGATTGATTTGAATCTTAATCCATTTGTTGTTATTAGATGGAACCGAATCGATGGCTGCTTGAACGGTCCAGAAATCGCCCGTGCCAGACTTGTCAACCACAATGGAGGATTCAATTCTTAAAACCTCAGAGTTGCTTGCATAAGCCACAGCTTCAGAACCAAAAACAGCAGCATTAGACAGGGTGAAGAGTAAGAGAAATGGAGGGAGAAGCTGCATTCTTTCTTACACAGATGCCAGTTGAAAATGGTAAGCTCTGAATTCTCAAGGTGCTGAAGAAGTAATAGGCCATATATTCACACACAAACACACATAGAGAGAGAAAAGAGAGAAATGAATTCATAAATGCAAATGCTTTTTAGGATATTGTTCATGCATAAGAATCCATTAGAAGAAGAGTTGATTGCAGTGTCAAATGAAACAGGAATGAAAGCTATGATCTTGCAAAAATTCAAGGAGTCAATAGTTCACTTTGATTTAGGCATTTTGCATTGGTCGTGATTGTGTTAATAAACACATTAAAAACTTTGCCAAATATGGAATGGAATGCCTGTATATGATCCTAATAATTTCATTGATTTACATTTATACTTTTTGCAAGGTAAATGAACCGTTTGGAATTCTTATTTGGTATTATTCTTCTCCCTCTTAATGCCTGCCTCGACTTTCCAAAGTATTCTCTAAAAATTTTGTTGATGAATCGCCAAATCAATGCTAAAATAAAAGGAAACAAAACATGTCAATATTTGACATGCATTTCCTTTTTGTTTTTGGTTGGCTAAGTTAGAGAGAGAATGTTTCTTTTGTACATATTACATTCAAATGCACTTTCTAATCCCCTAGTCACAGTTTCCTTTCCATATTTGATACTTAGAAAAAAAAATTATTCAACTTGAGTTGGAGTTGTATTTGGCTAAGAAATGTTTTGGAAATTGAACTCGAACCTTTCAAAAATTTTGTATGGATTGAGTTTATAGATTTTTTTTTTCCTTTTCTTTCTTTCTTCTAATTGTAGATAAAGTTTTTAATCTTCTTTCAAAGATTTTCATATGCAACCAATTTGTCAACGACCAATTGTGTCTTGTACTTTCTCTTGCTTCATGAATGGGTCTTGTACTTTCTCTTGCTTCATGAATGGATGATGTGTACGAAATTTGACTGACAATAGAGGAATAATAAAACGGCGAAGAGTCTATTAATATAAATCTATGAAAAGCTAACCTGAGCAAAATGTGTCAACTTATGTGAAGTTAATTAGATGTTCAAATTTTTACCAAACTTATTGGTTGGTGTGTTAACAAAATCTATATGAAATCTTTTGATTGGAAAAGATCGGTTGGTAGAAGAGAAGAATTCTGTACGGTTAAAATTGGTATAAAAGAACAGCAGCGTTTAGCAACAAAAATTCAATATACCTATTTGTATTAAACCATCGAATGGTTAATACTAAAATTTTCATTTGGCTTGAAATAAACAAGATTTCAAATGTCAATGACATTAACTCAACTAACTATACCTCTATCTTAAAGGTTAGATGTTTGAGTTCTCGTTCTTTACGTGGATGAACTAAGAAAAAACACGACTATATTCTCAAGAATGCAGTGTGAAAATTAGGCAAGCCGGTACATAAGTAAAAAGAAAACCTCTCCTCTCCCAACTAATGACATGACAAATATAAAGTTTCAAATTGATAGTATATAGTTATCTAATTTTTAATACGTTTTAATAGAAACAATTATTATACTAAGGGTCGTTGTCTTTGATTTTATAATTGGTTGCTTGCAAGTTGAAGGCAAGAATTAGCATTAAATTATACAACATAAAGCAAATACCACAAAAGCTATGTTGGACAGGAAAAAACATAGTATAAAATTATATCTTGTTTTTGAATTGGCATACCTTATCTTATCTCTCTCTCTTTTGCAATAAGATGGGCATTTTAGAATGAAAAGAATTTATAAAAAAAGATTCCAACTTGCTACCCTTGATCATGATTAGTGAGAACATAACAAAGCCTAAGGATTGGGCATCAACTTCAAAAATATAGTGGGGTGGACACATTTTGTTTGGCCCTATTGGAGAATATATTAAAAAAAAAAAAAAAAGTTCCAAAGTGCCCCATGAATTTAATCAAGGAGAATTTGTAAAAACCCGAATCACGTAAGGTGGTGGCTCATTGGTTTAAAGAAGCTAAAGTAAATCGAGGGAGAACGAGTTCAAATTCTATGATGACCACCTACCTTAACAATTAATTCCTATGTGTTTCTCAACGAGCAAGAAATGTTATATAGTTAGTTGATTGTCCCGTGAGATTAGATGACGTAGAATGTAGATTTTGTTCCATTGAAAAGAAAATATAAATTTGGACAGCAAAAATCTAAGACATAATCAACAATATATGATAAGTTGCAACTAAAAGACATGTTGAAAGTGAGAGAAAATGGGGGAATCAGATATACACTAAGATAAGTTTGAAAACAAATTTCATTTAGCTGAAAAATTCTGCCAACATGCTGGAAGTGGACATTATAATTTAAAAAGCCTTCATTTTACAGCACATAAAAAAAATTGCCATTGTCAGATAGACAGACAAGAAGAGGCCTTTTTCCATTACAAGATGTTAAAACTTCAGAGAAGAGAAGGAGGGAGAGAATATATATACTATCAAAAAAATGGAGGGCTTTCATACCAATGGTGTTGATAAAACTTAACATTAGCTAGAGAGAGATGTATAGGCTAATCTCGGCTCATCGAGTTGTTCGGTTCAAATTTTGATCGTTTTTTCGATCTAGAGATAAGATCGTCACATGAGTCTGAAAATTCGGACGGATCTGATCAGATCAGATCACCAACCCAACTCTCTTAATTTTGGGTTGGGTCATTGGTTATTTTTTCTTTCTTTTCCTAATTCTAGATGGGTCGTTGTTAATTAATGGCGAGTTGCCTTACGAAGTCGTTTAAAGCTAAACAACTCGAGAATCATCTTTATTTTGTAGGCTATTGGAATGCGACACATCTATCTTAGAGGGTAATTCCATTACAAAGTTGTCAATGAAGATTAGCATTTTTTTATGGGGGTGGTGTATGAGAGGATGTATTGAGTGACAATTAAAGCAAGAAATAGAAGAATGCCTCCAAGAAGGCAGGCAAGCCCACTGCCATGTCATTGTCTCTATTTTTATACATAAAAGTTCTCTTTCTCATGCTCATACTCATATTTCTTCTCAGGTTTATAATTATTTTCACTTTTCTCCGACCCACAAAAAACTAGAGTTGGATTAACAAGACTCATTTCATAATCATTTAAGATTTAGAAACATTACTATCGTCACCTGAAGAAACATCAAATTGACACCTATGGTTTAAAAGTTTGAAACTTTAACCTACATGGACAGCTATTGGTACAAAAGAGCTAGAGTAAAGTAAGAGGAAATGAGTCCAAACCTCATAACGACCACATAACTTAAAAATTAATTCCTATATATTTTCTAGTACCAAATGTTGTAGGATTCGACGACTGTCCCGTGAAATTAATCTGGTTTGAAACTTTAAAATTCAACCCATTCCAAAAATGATAGAACTCCTGTGGAATGTTGAAACAAAAAAAACAATTTGTGAAGAATAAGATTATTATTGGGAATTAATCATTTGAATGTGGATGAAACCTTGCCACATCTTTAAAACAAACCACAATAATCCAACCCCAAAAAAAAGAATCATATAAAAATTGAGAGAAAGAGAGAGAGGCACATTCCCAAAAGAAGCAAGAATCCAAAAGAGAAAGAAAAAGAGAGAGAGAGAGAATAGAGCCACATGATTGAAAGTGGCATGAAAACAAAAGCAACCACATGCTTCTCTCTCTCTCTCTCTCTCTCTCTCTCTCTCTCTCTCCCTCCCTTTAATCTCAATTGGCTAACATCACCCACTAATCATTGCCTTGCATGAAAACAAAATTTCTGTTGACACCCACACCCAATTAGTGCTTGCCAACACATCCAATATAATAACACCTCCAAACAAAGAAAAAGACAAGGGACTTATTACCAATTTGGTCATTTTATCTTTCCCTTATACCATTTTAAAAGTTTCAATTTCATCTCTCAGTTAAATCTAGAAGGTTTAGATACTATTTCGGTCTTACTTTTAGTTTTAGTTCATTTTGATCCAGGTACTTATAAATGGTTTGTTTTAACGCTGGTTTTAATCTATGTACCATTTTAGTCCTTATTAAAAAAATTTAATTATAGAGTCTATACGAAACCATTTTTAATATAAAGTTGTGACTATATTTCAAAAAATTCATTACGCGTTGAAATTGTGGTCTAAAAGTGAAATAAGAAAAAAAAAATATCAAAATGGTAACTTTCTAAAAGTACAGGGACCAAAATAAATGTTTTAAAGGCATTGGATCAAAATGGATAAAAATTAATATTTGATAATATAGGATTTGAAAGTACAATAACCAAAATAAATCGAAGCAAAGTATAATAACCAAAATAATATTTAAACCAATCTTAAAAATCATCTTTTAAACCTATTTTTCACTTGTCTCTAAATTTGAGTCGAGCTAACAAGCAATAGAAAATGCATTATGTATCCAATATATAGTAACAACTTATTAACAATATAGATGATTTGTAAAGGTGTCAAGTTTTTTTAATTAAACTAATGGATAATCTAAAACCAATATAAAAAAAAAAAAAAAAATCTTATATAATATGATCCATTGATGATTAAGAAAAGAAAAATGAGCAATTTTTAAAACAAAAGATGGAATTGGCTAGCTTTGAAGACAAGACATGGGGACACAAGTGAGGTTGTGCATGTTTTTTGCTTGTAATAATGAAGCTGTTTTGGTTGGCTTCTCTTCCCAAACATTTGCTTTTAAAACTTTAGCAACCAACATTTATATTATATATAATACAAGTAAATTTAGCTTGCCTTCAAGAAATGTTTCTAAAATTTCTAATATTTTTCGGGTGGAGGATCGAACTCATGACCTTCCTAGTTAAAGATAATACCGATTACCGCTGAGCTAGGCTCGTGTCGACCTCTATAAACTTAAATTAAGATCACATCAAAGACATATTTCTTAGCAAATAGATATAGATATTTTTATAATAATGTTGGTTAATAAATCTTATAATAAAGTTGTTTGCTTGTTTGAGTTGGTCAAAGAGTGAGAAAAATATTCAACAAACACCCACTTTAAAGTCATAAATTTATTATTGTTTGTATATATATGTGTTTATATAAGGATTCTGATAAATATATTAAAAAAAATATAATAGTATGGACTAAAAAAATCAAAATTAATACATAATGTTAGAAAATTTATGGCGATTTTGTAACATTCTCGTTTCTGGACCATTTTGATAATTGTTTCTCGTTTCTATTTTTTAAGAAATGTTTCTAAAATTTCTCAATTTCTAAATCATATTTTCAAATTTTCCTTTCAAAATATAAATAAAAGTATTGTTTTATTATTGTCGACTTAATAAAATACATAATAAATATAACATAAAAATTAATTTAAAATTTTAAAATTTCAGAGAACGAAAAAAC